AGAGCATATAAATGATATGCAAAATGAGAAGTTTGGACATATTAGTGTGAAGTGATTATATTAGAGATTCAATCTCAAGTGGGGGTAATTACCATAAAAGAAAATTGAATTCCAAGATATTTGGTTAGTATTACTACCATTAGAATGGATTTAAATCATTAGACACCAATAATGGGAACCTAACTTTGAATTAGAAACCTCTAATTACGAAGTTTAATGGGTAAAAACAAGTTATTTTATGTATCTATTAAACACTAGTAAAATCTATTCAAATTTAAAAACTAATGTGATCCATTGTGGGGAGGATAATTTTTATACTTTTAATGGAGTTTTAAATGTCTAAAGCAATGGAGATATAATAGAAACTTTACTTATATAAACATAGAAGTGGTACTTCAACAAAAAGAATTAAGGTCTCTTTGTAAATGTTTATGAATATGAATAACACATGATCATAAATAGTGCTAAAAGCAGTTATAAACCTTTAAACAAAAGAATAAATAAGTATTATGTGTATTATATCTTCAATTCTAATACTAGGAGTTAGGTTTAATTTGCGAATACCATCAACTTTGTTAGAATTCTAAGATATATATGCTAATTAAGGTTTAAATCGAAAAAATACCTTCTTGTATTCATCATATTTATTTATGTGAAAGATAAAAATTAAGCACCAACATTTCAAATTAGTGAGGGATTGTTGTAGTTTAGAATATGACATATCCTACATTGAATAGAAAGATTTAATTATTGATAAACAAAATTAATTTTTGTATTAATTTTATTCATATTCTAAATAATTATATTTGAACAGAAATAATTATTAGATGACAAATGGTAATAGTTATTTGAATATAAGTAGATTATTATTCATAAAGGACATAATTATACAGAATGTTATAACAATGCTTTAAACAAAGTGTCTTTCATGCCTAAAAGCTAAAATTCTTTTTTATTATCTCTCTTCTCTTATTTATTTTTTATAACAATTTCTCTTTATGTTGATAGAGTATTGGGGTGTTTTGAGAAATTTTCAACATATTAGGCTCTTGTTTATCTTTCAAATAAAATAAATTCCATTTATAATAATAAAAATAAAATTTCTTATGTTGCAATAAGACAAATTAAGAAAATTATTTTTAAATATCAAAATTAAGATCACTTTTATCAAAGTTAAATAATAATATATGATTAGTTGATACCGTTTTAAAATGGATGTTGTGAGATGTTAATCTTTTTCACATGCAATCGTAGCTTCTAAATTAAATTTATTTTTTGTAGACCAAAAAATTATTTTTAATAAGTTTTAATTAATATTAAAAATTTTATTAAAATGATAAATTTTGTTAGATGGCTAATTACACTTAACTAAAAAAATTGATAACACTCTCTAATTTAATTTAAAATTGGTTTAACTGATCGGATTTCTAAACCCACAAATAATAACACCTGGTCCTAGGATTTGTCCGTGAATAAATCTAATTCTAACTTCTTAGCTCTAATTAACTTACTTTCTCACGTATTTCTTCTTAGTTTTGTCAATATTGGCATGGCAAAGCTTTAACTTTGAGAGTTTCTCCCAACTACACATGTTAAACTCGAAGTAAAATCATTGAACCAATTCTCCAGTAATATTTAACAAAAAGAATGTCAATGATAATAGAAGACTTAATTAACATGCAATTGTATAAGGCTATTGTATCTTAGTTCTTGAATCACATTTTTCCTAATTTAGTTTAGAATTTCATTAACATGTATTTTAAAGACATTTTATAAGATTAGTTAAAATGCTTTCTTTTTTTTTTTTTTTTGGCATTTGATGTTGTCAAAGAATGTATTATATCATTGAAACTAAAAGCATACTAATAGATCATACTATTGTTAACGCTAAAATATTATTTATAGAAATAGTATTGTATTAAATGTGATAATTAACTATTAATTTTATGAAAAATTTTAATAGTATAAATTATTAATATAATAACCTTAAAAAGTATCTAAAATAAACTTGTTAACAAAATTCTTTAATTTATTGAACTTGTGCATAAAGGAGAGAATGTTTTAACAAATCCGAATTTGAACTCACATCGAAACCTTGATTTGCTTTCTGAACTTGCTTCAATATGAAAATATAATTATGATATCTGATAAATTTATAATTTAAATTTCTATACTTATAATTTTATATTTATCTTTAAGTTATGTTTTTTTTTTTTAAAAAAAATAATGGCTTCTGTATAACTATCAAATGAGTTCTCTGTTAAACATTTTTCTCTTTTTTAGCAATCTGCAGCTTGAATTCTCTCCTTCCAAATAAATTCTTTTCAGAAAAATTTGTATGTCAGCGTTTAAAATAGGTAAAAAAATCAGTATTGGGAGCAGCAAATACATACTTAGTTTCCTGCTTTAGAATTAAAAACTCATTCATTTCTCACATTCTTACTGTAAAATTGATCTTTTTTGCTTATTCTAATGCCATGTGAATTCTTTTTATAGAGGGATTTTGCATTGGTTGGTTGGAACAGAGCTGGCAAAAGTAAAAGCGAAGGCGCTTGAGTTGAATGAATGCTATAAAGGCTTCAGAGGAATAAACAGTGTAACGCGGAGGAGAGGGCACATGGGTTTAATCAATGCGTTCTCCTTCTCTCCATCACTGTCCTTTTCTCTCTCAACAAATTTTGCCTTTCATCATTTTCTTTTTGTTTCCCAGTAATGTTAAAATACTTCATTGTTCGATTAATTATAATAATAAATAAATGAAACATGTTTATATGTATCAATTAACATGGATTAATGTCGATGTAATTAGGATTGTTAGATTGTGTATGCGATAAAATATTATTAGTTCTTTCTTCTGGCCAAAAGGTATTTTAAAATTGAAATTAGCATATGGATCTGTTGAATTTATTGCATTAAATGAAAAAAAAATTTAGTTATTATTAATTAGTTTAAAAAGATAATAATAAATTTATTAACTTTTGTCCACTTTCGATGTCTAGAAAGAAGCACCACATCAAACCTTGTCAACTTGCTTTCATGATCCTAAATTTATGTCCTTTGTAAGTAAGAAATTGGGTCATTTGGGACAAAAAAACTGGAACATTAATTAATGTACATGATAAAGATCATTGAGATTTATGTAAGTGTGATCGGCTATAAGGGGTTTTCAGGTTCCAAAGTGAATGATAAAGTTGTTTTGTTGTTTAATTCTTTTCTTTGGAAATGAAGGGGGAAACTGAAGAAAAAAAAGCGAGTAGAAAATTTCACATCAAAATAATTTTCATTATCGGATCAAATCAAGAAAGAAAAGAAAAGTAACAGTATTGACCGCATCCCTAAGCGGTAGAAATTGTAAGGTAATGAAATGATCGCATCTTAGGTTTCTTGTTTGGTCAAATATTACATCTTTTTAATCTGAATCATTCGTAAAATAATGATAATAATATATTTTAATAAATTTAAATATTATTTATATGATTTTTTTATAAAATAAATGTTACTTTTTTTTTTTGTATTGTTATATTTATGCACGCCCATTTGAATATAAAAAACTCATAAATTTGCATTTGATGCATTTTGTTGAATTATAATTAATATATAAACAAACAGATAAGAGTAAAGTATCCGTTAATTTTATGTTATTTGCAAGCAAGCCCAATTATGCTATGGTAAAATTTCTTTAACCCAAGATGGGAAACAATTTTGGTAGCCTTTCAAAACCCTCACCCTGTATAATCGTCTAACTTGATTGCAGAATTAAATGCTTTGAGTTTCCATCTTTGAAGCATTGCGAAGATTTGATACATAAATAATTTTAATCTCTGGCCAACTGACCCACCCTTTTTGTCAGTGTAAAAGTCCTCCTAACATTTCTAAATTATAATATTAGCTCTCATCTCATAAATTTTATTTTCTCTCCTCAAAATTCAAACGATACTCCAAATCATATAAAAGTGTCAATTTCTAACAATTTAAATACGCCTCGATAACTTGAAAAGATAAAATAATAGAAATAAAGTCAAATTAAAGATGAAAGCTAAAATAAAAATAAATTTTATCAACAAGTGTCCTAAAGTTACCATAAAAAAAATATAATTTTTCAATGCATTGAAATGATCAATTGTTGCATTGAATACACAAGATAACAATAGCGAATATATTAATTAACTTTAAAAAGTACTCTAAAAACATGATTAGCAAAACTCATAAAAAAAAATTAAATGTGAGATTTTTTTTTAACAAAAGAAATTGCAATTTAAAAATTAAAAAAATTATAATTTGAATTTTAGATTTATTAAATAATACTTCTTAAAAATTGATTATTTATATAAACTTTAGGTTTAAATGACGGTTTGCTCTCTATGTAGCTAGAACATGAGGGTTTTTTGTCATGAAAATTTACCATATATTTGCCAAAATAAATGAAAATAACATGCTTGGTAGCATTCATTATTGAATTATTTTTGGAGTCAACTACATGAAGTTTTGCAAAATACATACTATGCCAAAATCCTAGTTTTCTCCCTCTCTGGCTCTTTCTTGTCTTGCACCCACCAGACATTTTTGTTTAATGTCATTTCCTCACTTTCCATCCATTATTACAAAATTTAGGATCTAAAGCTAAATATAATTCTATATATACAAAATTCAAAAAAAAAAAAAGACAAACAAAAGAAAAGAAAGAACAAACCTTCAACACGTATTTTTTTATTTTCTAAAAATTCTAATTCTTTATTATTTGTTCTTTTGCTAAGAATCCTTATCAACACAAGAATCTACTTCACATGAACTTATCATACAATCGTCAACAATCTTGCAATCTATTGACAAAATATAAAGTTTTTAATTTCAATTATCATTGATAATCTCAAATAATAATAATAAAAAAACTTACTTTTTATAATCTAAAAATATCGTATACATCATGTGAAAAAAACATAAATGTACATTTTTTATTTTCTAAAAAGCGTAATTAATTTCTTTTTTTTTTCTTTGTTTTGTTAACAATCCCTATAAACAGAAGAATCCACTTCACACAAACATATTAGCTTCATAATTATGGAATTAAGCTCATGATTAGTATTACCACGTTGGATTACTGAATAACCTGCAGCTGAATCGGAGCTCAATCCCATGAGTGAACTCGCTTCCTTGATTGACTCTGTCGATGTGATCAAATTAACATTCTTCAGTATGTAGCCACTGCCGACGAGTTGACTCAATATTACCGACTCCGATGTTGAGTTCTTTTTCTTATGCTGCATTGTAGCTCTAACAATCTCAGTCAACATTGCATTGGCTAATCTTCGAATTCCCCTAGCTCCACCCATCAAAATCGATGAGTTAACCTGACTATGAGACTGAGTTTTCTCCGAGTTCCTCTTGCTTTGCTTGCCGGAGCTGCTTTCCTTGATCAATAAATAAACCGACTCGGGACTCCGATTCCTGACACGGCCGAGCGGATCACTCCGTAACATCAAATTTTTAACATCCAACAACATTATATGCTTAAAATTTCGCCTGACTCTTCCTAATAGCATTGGATAACAAGCCCATCTTCTCAAACTCATTGGAACGTGATCTAAAAACCCGGCCAGCGAGTTCTCTGGATCCAACTCATTCACATCAAATCCCACAACCGAGCCATAAGTCAACCGAGTTGACTCACCTTCTGCTTCAGTTGAATTGCTATAATTCCCTCGGCCTTTCTTTCCCCAAATAGGCTCTCCCACGTCTTTCTTCCCAGATTTCCAAAAATGGATCGAGTCGAAACTACAGACTGAGTCACGGAAACCATTATTATTCAACTCTTTGTAATGTTTAATAAGTTTCAAGAACGAGTCGTTTTCTTCCTGAATCACAAAGCTGAATTTTGAAGATAACGAAGGAGACCCAAAAAGGAAAACAGTGTCAGCTTTTGAAGTGACACCTGACCTATGCAAGACTCGTAAGAAAAGCCTGAGTTCATCTTCAGTCACATCTTCAACAACATGGCTAACTATAAGATCGTTCATGGCTTTTGTCCCACGCCTATACAAAGTTCCCATCCCCTGTAAAGCGAATGAAGAGGAAGAAACATCGGATTTTTGCATGAAATGCAGGGGCTTATAATCCCACATTGGAAAGAACCAATGTGAAGAAGAAAGTTGAGTTTTTTGGGATAAGAATCGACGAGATTTTTTGATGGAGGAGGAAGGGGTAGTTGGGTTAGGATGGAGGGTTCAAAAGTAGAGAGAGTAAAGAGGAGAAGTGTAAGGAAAACTAAAAGAGCACAGATTGAAATGGTAGATTGAGCTTTGGTGAAAAGGAGACTGGAACTTGTTCTACGAATAAATCTTGATGTACTAGTGTTGTTATCAATGGAGTTGCTGATTTTGTTCCGGTCTTCAGGGAAGAACACGAGGAATAAACCCATACCCCTGTTTTCTTTGCTGCTGTTGAGGGTGTTTGGCTTAGCTGCTGCTGCTGTGAAACCCATGCCTCTTTGCCCTTTTTCACTCTGCTTTTTAGCTTTAAGTGGGAGGCTGTGTTTCGCAAGGACAAGCGAGGTAGGGCAGGGACTCGTGATCGCGAGCCTAATACTGCAATTTGTCTTTTCCTAAACAGTTAATCTGATTCTTTTATTTGTTGTGTTATTTCACATTTATCAAGGGTTAATGCGGTGTGTATTGTCAACTGATTCGAGTAAAAAAAAAATTAATTGATCCAAATAATAAAATTTTAATTTTTTTAAATAAAATTTTTATTTTTATTTTTATGAATAAAAAAATAAATTTTAAAAAATTTACAAGATTGATTTAATTTGATTTCGAATTAATGAAAATTTAAAATAATTTTCGAATATTAAAAAATCTCAAAAAAAATCGGTGCGCAGCGAAAAAATTTCCAATATTGTATTAAATAAATATTTAATTATGTATCCAAACTTTGAACCAGAAATGCTAGCGGCAGCCGCATTATCCATCTCCCTTCAACACTCAAATTCTGCAGTAAGCCACATCATCTCTTTTTTTTTTTTTTTAACTCAAAAATGGAACCAAATGCTCAGGTAAAATTATCTTCTTTGTCTACTCCCAAGCCAAGTCCCATCTAAAAAATTTCGCAAGGACTAAAACGCCATTCACGCTATCCTATTGAAGATTTCAAAATGTAAAATTATTGTTGTTATTTTCTCAATTAATTTTGAATTAAGCAAAATAATTGTTTTTTTATGAATGTTATCATAATTAATTTCTTTAATCTTTATATTTGTAGGAAAAATTAAATATAATATTTTCCCTCTATCTTTTTCTCTTAAAATATTTTTGTAATTTTGCTTTGGACTATATAAAATACTCACCCAGGTATACTTATTATACAAACATTCATATAGACAATCATTTTAATTATAACTTATATTATAAAAAATTTATAACTTTATGTTACTTAAAATAATTTATAATAACTCAACCATTTAGCTCAATAATTAATGCATGAACTTTTATTAAAAAAAAATTAGATTCAAATTCATTTTTTTAAATAAAAATTAATAATAATGTATAATAAATACTATAAATACTTTTTGTAATTAAATTTTGAAAACTAATACCAAGTATTGAATAACTAGTATTATATTTATAACAATTTCAACCAAAATAATAATTTTTTTAAAAAATTATTATTACATTTTGTTACTTGCCATATATTTTGTTACATTTTGTTATTAACTTATTGATAATATTATACTTAGATTCACAATTTTACTCTATTTTTTTTTAAATTTTGTAGCTTACACAAACGCATATATAAATATAGAGAAACATAAAAAATAATGATTAAGTAAAATATATAATATATAAATATTTATATAAAAAATACTGTTTTTTTCTTAGTTTAATGCCTGATTTTAATCAAATTTACTTTACCTGTTGGCTGAGGTAGTGTGGATCCTGTGGGATCATAAATTTGAAATGTTGGAAAATTTTTTATTACCATCTATCAAGTGAAATTGTACGTCAAATTACTTTAAGCCTTAACGTCATGATAACCAATAAAAAATTTAACGCATGTACAAATAATATCATGTCAACGAAAACCATTCAAATTTATACGCGTCGAAACATAAGATAAATGTTAGATTTTGTTGTTTGACAATTAAAAATAAAAGTTTATAAAATAAACTTTAATTTTTTTTAAAAATAAAATTGTATTTTAAAAAATTATAAAATTGTCTTTTTTTCACATTTAAAATTTTTTTTTTGAAAAAAAATTAAAAAAGAAAAAATTACAAAAAAATTTAAAAGAAAAACTGAAATAAAATTTTTTTCATTTTATATTTATATAGCCCATTTAATCATTTCTCTGACAAGGTTTAAATTATTTTAGTAATGATAATTAAATATAACATAATTTTTTTTAAGTTTCTAATATCTTTTTAAAATTTTTTATTTTATTATATATATGACTGAAAAAAATATTATGTATTTAAATTTTTTTGAATTCATGACTTTTAAATATCAATTTTAATAATATCTCAATTGATATAAAAAATCACCAATTTTTTTATGCTAAAAGTAGAAGAAAAAAAAAAAAAGAAGAAGTTCATAAGTAGCAACTCAGATCACATATTTGCATATCTTATCCTTATAAAGAATCATTTAACTTCCTTGAGTTGCACCAATTTTAGATTGATAGATGCATTTTTGGAATATTTTGCCCCATCTTAGGATTTGGACCATTATTTATTTAATTTTTTGTTTGATAACGTTCTAAGAATTTCTAAAACATTAAATCCGTACCTTACATATTATTCACATTAATAACAAAATATTTTTCTAAACATTCTTTCTTACTACCAAGTCACAACCAGAGGAAAGTAAACTGTTTTTTCCTCATTTTCTTAATTTATGAAATTTACTCTTCAAAAAAATTTCTCAAATAAAATTTGACAATTATTAATATTATTGTAAATGTCAGGAAAATACTATAGACTCAAATAAAGCATGAGAATAATCCCCATCACATCACTAAAAAAATTAAAAGGATTCTCTCCAAAACGCTCTACTTTTGTTGTTGAAGTCATTAAATAATTTTTTAAAATTATGTGTATAAATATAAATATAAAATTTTATTTGATGTATGTCAGATAACATTTTGGAAATGATTTTATCTTCATTTTAATAATGACGCATGTACGTACAAAAATGAAAATATTGAAAAGTTTTTAGTTAATCAAAAAATTAATTATAGCTTTTTATCCCTGCTTTTAAATTAAAAATCTAGTTATAATGGGAAAAAGTTGGTTTTAAATTATTAAGATTTTATTGAAATTGAATAAATTTAACATTAATGGGAAAAAGTTTAAATATTGATTTTTTTTTTTAAAAAAACATAAAAATATTGAACTATGATATAATTTTTTTTATTTGTACTGAAATTAAATATTTAGTAGATTTTTATTAATCTTTTATAAAAGAAAAATATGTTTCAAAATTATTTTTAATTGATAAAAGTTAAAAAATAAATGATTAAAAATATAAAGTTAATATAATTAAATAGTATTTATTTTCTTAAATAAATTAACTTAATGCCACTCCCAATCTCTAAGTGGACCATTCTGTCGGGAAGAATCAATGAACAACGACCGCCACAGAGTTCGCCAATTCATGGCCATGCCATTATTAGTTAATTAATATCCATCGTACCAAATGCCATGTATCACCGACATACATCGCCGCGAATCGGAAAAATTCACCCAAAATGCTTTAATTACTATTGTTACGACATTGAAAGTACATATATCAATAAATAACTATATATAAATATTAAAATAATATTTTATTCAAAATTTAGAGATCACTGTTATTTATTTATATTTTATAATATTTATTATTTTAAATATTATTGTAAAATAAAAACAAATAGAAAGTAAAATCATGACTAATTAAAAGTAAATTAATGACTAAAATGTACTACTCCACCTATTTTAAGGAAATTATTTTTATATACAAAGTAATTCATTCATCTTGTTCTCTTATAAACTTTTAAAAGTAAGTACCGAAAATAACTAATAAACACCATTTTGTTGTGTTTTTCTAGAGAGACATTTTACGGATTAAATTTTGAAATTTCATTTTATTATTTAAAGTTAAATTTAATAATTTATGTATTTATATTTATTTATTTTATATATAATATGTATAAAATAAAAATATGATATTATAATTTATATTTAAATTATAATATTTTTGTATTTTTATTATAATATTTTATATTATGTTATTATATTATATTATTATATGATGTTTAAAATTATAAAATATTTAAATTTTAAGTGAGTATATTGAATGAAAAACAATCAGAAAACAAGTGAAAATGGTATGAATGAATAAATTATAAAAAAAAAAAAAGTAAAAATTTATGCCGACAACTTCAGATATGAAATGGTCGATGGGTTTCTAACACCGTATAGTGGCAAAAATATGGTACTCCTAAGAGTACAACTGTGTGTAGGGTCTGAAACGACATTGTCATAAACTGCAACGACAAGCACCACCATTCAATTCTAGCACCACTATAATCTAACCTTAGATTCCTAAAACCTGAATACAAGTAAGGCACGTGGATGATAATCTCTGTCTGATTTTTATTTAATTTATTGATTTCCATTGACTCTTCATAATCATACTATCGGTATCAGCCACCGAAACTAGCCCCACACCTCAGCTCAGGTTGCTTAAAATGATTTGATCACTCTTCGATTCGTCTCCGTTTTCGGAAAAAATTGATTAATTTATAAATTTTTTATTTTCAAAATCAAGTCGAAAACTATCTATAATTAAATCAATGTAAAACCAAAATTTATTGATTAAATTGATGTCGATCCTTCGATTTTTACGGATTACGTATTTGTTTTTAATATTATTTTAATTTTTTATATAAATTTAAAAATAAAATAATATTTTATTTTATAAAAGTTAAAAAGTACTATAAAAATAATTATGCTAAAAAAATTTTAATTTTAATTAGCCTTATTAAATGGGGATGTGAGAAGCTCGTGGGTGATGCTGTGTTTTGGGCGTTGAATTGAAAGAGGCAACTGGTAAAACAAAGATCTGACGGGCAAGATTGTCTGAGAGATAATGGAAATGGAGATGGAAATGGGTCCTATCCTCTCCTGTGGTCCTGGTGATTGTGTTTGGTGTGTTAACGGGGGATAGCATGTGGATCTAATTCTAAAACGGAAGTTTCTATGAAAGCAAAAGACACGTGCTGCTTATGCTTGACTAGTTTGTAGCAGTAACGTTGGAAAATGAAATTATTTGGCTGTATTCCTCTACTTAATTCCATAATATTATGTGTTTAGGTATGTTTCTCATTAAAATGGTCGGTTTCTTTTTTATTTGTCCCCCATATTTCTTAAATTTATTATAAAAATATAAAATTAAAAAGTTTTACATTAATATTAATTAATTTATTTTTTAAAAAAATTATTAATAT